ACCGTCACTACACCAATATCCAGCACTTCATTAGCGCGTGGATTGTACACAATAGGATGAGAAAGTGGTACGAGAGAGAGAGAGAGAGAGAGAGAGAGAGTTTATCAAATGATTGTGGAAGTAGGGAGTGTCGGGTGGAGGAGGGACAAAATGACACGCACGACCGCTGGGCTGTTGGGTCGCACCCAATGGGCTTGTGGGCCCATGCTTATCTGGGTCTAACCAAACAATTATTATTCCATAATCAATCTGTGGTTTAGGGAGGCGAAAATATACGTAATCGTGGATATCCGTCCGAATTCGTCCTAATTGGGTAGGGCAAAACCCGAACTCGAAAGACTTTTAGTGGGTACAGGTAAAACCCGAACTCGAATATTACGGATAATGGGTGGACATAATTTTCTCACTATCCAACCCGAACCCGCCCGATTATACACATTCATATGTATTTTGTTTAGAAATAATCATTATTTGTCTCTAACATATTTTATATTTAGCATATAAATTTAATATTTTCATGAAATTATGTTGTTTTAATTAATTTTCTTCAATCTAGTGAATTATTGTCGTACTTTTCATCTTATGTAATGTGAACATATGTGTTAATGTTAACATATTTGTTGGAGTTATAAAGAAAAATTATTACTCATGAATAATTGTGGACAGTGGCGGAGCTAGAGTTCGAAAGTACCTGTGTCCCTTTTTCAAAATATAAAAATAATAAAAATTATTATTTAATAAATAATTATTTATTTAATAAATATTGAAAAAACAAATATGAGAGAGCCGAGAGCCACACCTGTTGCCTGTTGGAGATAGCCGTCGAAGGCAAGTTCCCCAGAGTGAGACTCCGCCTGGCGCCGAGGCAGGGGAGATGCAGTAATACAATGGAGAGGAACCACTTTCCTAGAGTCCGCCAAGGCCAAGTATGCTCCCGAACACGCTCACGTGCCGGAGTTCGCTCCCCTGCTAGTCGCCGGCGCCGCTGAACTGGAGGACAGAAGGAGAAGCTCTAGCCGCTTACTGGGTTTTTTATTTGATACCCAAAACTTACATGTGTCACAGGACACAGCCCAAACCCTCTGGCTCCGCCTATGATTGTGGATATCCGAAACCCGAACGGGTATGGACATGATTTTGATTTTCTACCCGTTTCTCATGTGGGTATGGGTATGGATAAAACTCGAACTACTTTGGACAGGGTAACGGATATGCACTATCCACCCCAACCCGTCCCGTTGCTATCCCTACTGTGATTTATGACCGCCGGTGAAAAAAGAGACGATAATGATAAGATAATCGGAAAAACCAACAAAAAGAAAATAAGGAAAAAGAAGAGGACAAGACAGGAGTAGATGAAAGAGTGGGGACCACCGCAGAAAGAGGGTGCACGTGTCTCCAGGCAAGACATGTTGGTCCACGTGACTTCGTGCTTGTCTTTTTACTCCCTTTCCTAATTTCTTTTTGGAACTCTTTTCTAATTTTGGTTAGCGACATTTTTTCATTTGCTTTTATTCTTTTCCCGAAAAATCAAAATGTAAAACACATCAGAGCCATAAAATTCAATTGGAAACAATAAGAAATTCACTAAAAAGACTCGAGATGATATCTAATAGCAATTAGTTCAAGCTTTGCTTAAGATGGCTTGAAAAAGTAAATATGTATTATTCAAATCTTTCAATTTTCAAAAATTATTAGTCAAATGTTAACTTCTCGTTAGAAGTTTTGTTAGTAATATTGACTAGGTAACATGATAGTGACTTGATAAAGATACATGAAAGTTAATATTCTAAAATTTCAGTACTTTAACTAGGAAAAAAAGTAACAAAATTAGTAACGATAACAAACAAATGACTAATATTTTGTATTTCGAAAGATTTGGATGAAAATTTGAAAGATTTGACTAATAAATTGTATTTACTCTAGATTTTTTTTTGACAACTGGCGCATGTGAAGTCGGGCAAATGCTCAAGAGAATTGTGATGGTGGAATCTAAATATAACATTGAAAATACAAAAGAAATGATCCTAGTAACTAAACACATTTCTAATTTTAGTTGTCAACTTACATGGTTTCTTAGAATTACCAACCAAACATGCTCATATTTTTCCTATCTTTCCATGTTATTATGACTATTACTTTGTTGTCATAAGTCATAACCCTACGAAAATTACAGCCGCAATTAATGAGTTGTTGGTTTTGTGGTGGATCGGATAAATGAAAATTTTGGTGAAACTTGAATTTTGGGTTGATTATCGACTCACCCATTGTCCCACCCCACGTGAAATCCATCCACTCCGCTTTGCGGGGGAAAGCCCACCATGCAATTGCAATCATCTACCTCCAGTCCCACGTGCCTCTTGTCTTCTTCCGGGTCGGGTTCGCCTCACCCGGCCCACCACCCACTTCACCTCTTGTTTGTCTGACTTGTAAATCTCAACTCCCATTTGGCAAAGCAAAACATCAGCCACTCTTTAATTATTACCTCTTTACTATTCTTTGATGAGTTTGACCATCCAAGTAAATATATATATATTACCAACTCTTTCAATAAATTGGCACTTGCGGTTACGTAACACATACTAGTAGTAATAATTAAGCTCTAGTTTCAACTTTCAACTACATTTCATTATTGCAATTTAACGCTTAAAATTTTTAACGCTTAATTAATGTGTTTGATTTGTGATGTTCCCCCGGCCCGCGTGCGTGTCATTAGTAATAAGTTGTACATAATTAAGCACCCGTTACACGATAATTAATTTCTCCTTCATGGGAAACTGTGTTAATCACTTTATTACAGAGACCCTTTACCTTTTACTTCCCCCGGCGGGCGGACCATTAGTTTTACGGTTGAACTTTAGACTTTAGCACCCAAGAAAAGATGGGTATAAATTTCATGCCCAGAAAAGATGAACGGTTTTGAGTGTTAAGACTTAAGAGGGCATGATATGAACAAAGAGAATCATGAGAAGTTAGAACCTACAGAACATATCAAAGATAATTATTCTGATGGTTTATGACGAAATGCCTTCTACAAATTGTATGTCTATTTCGGTTTTATTATAGTTAGCAAAGTAAAAATTGTTTATTTTTTCATTACAATAAGTTGAATTGTGTGGTTAGCTATATCTCAACTCACTACAAATCATTAATTTTCATATTCTTTACAAATTGATATCAATTAACGTTAGACTGTGTTTATTTGAAACATTGAATTATCCTCGTACTTAATTTGTAGATATAGAATTTTGTATAGGCTGTTATACTGCTATGTCGTATCTATTAAGCGGGCATGCAAAAAAAAAAAAAAAACAGGATTGAAGTGTGGCGTGTTCGTGTAAACTTTGACCGCATTAAAGCCACCCAAAACAAGTTAATGCTGGAAAAACGAAATAGCCGGGTAGGAAAAATTGATTGAGCAAGATGAAAAATGTCCAAAAGTAGGGCACAGCAACGAAACAAGGGAAGGGGGATAGTAGTATTTAGGGCTGGAAAACGGTGCGGTCTGGTCCAGACCAGACCATATATACGGTCTACGGTCCAGACCGAGAGGCTAAAGTATAGACCACAGACCAGACCACAGACTATACGGTCTGGTCCAGACCACGCCTGTGCGGTCTGGTCCGGTCTGGTCTGGTCCAGATAGACCACACTCAACGAAAAATGAATAATTTGTTTAGTTAACCACACAAAAAATTGAACCAATAACCAAGAAAAATAATTGTTATTTGCCTTAAAACATTAATCCTAACATGCATGAATAATTTTAATACTCTAAATCTTAGTACATAACAAAGATACAAAGTAAAAGCATCTCAGCTTGCACCATAATGTCATAAACATTAACATAATGTCATATGGAGATACGATTTTCTCTACTCTGTGGTTAAATGTGGTTGTGAATGAAGGAGGGAAGAGATTCACAAAATTAAGGTTGAGACTTGGGTGTCGTTGTGGAAGTTTGGAGAGTGGTCGAATGGGCTGTTAACACGTATTGACAAGTCAGTTGGGTCTACGGTTTGGTCCGGTAAACCGCGGTCTAGACCAGACCAGACCAAGAGATCAAATCATAAAATAATACAGACCATGGACCAGACCAGACCATGCTTCACGGTCTACGGCCCGGACCAAACTGTGCGGTACGGTTTGGACCACGGTTTTTCTAACGGTCTGGTCTATTTTCCCAGCCCTAGTAATATTGACTATTGACTGAATGCATGGCAGCAGCAGCAACAACAATAATAATAATAATAATAATGGAGGAGTAGAGCCTGAGTCATTCCATTTGACATACAGTGAGGGCCAGGGACCAGCGGCAATGCGGCATGCAGCTCCACCCAGCTCTGCTCTGCTCATCATTTTAGTGTGTGAGAGTAAAAAAAAACAAACTACTTCTCCTACACTACACTAGACTTCTACTAACATATGAGTCTTGAGAGTGACTATTTCTCCTCCCCTCTTTTTTTGTTGTTGTTGTAAATATATGAATCAAGTCAAAATTGAATAGAATCAACAATATTTTCGAGTCTGATTCTAATCTACGCTTTCAGGAAACAGGAGCGACCTTTCGCGACAGTAATATTGAAATCGAGATATCAAACCCAAAACTAAGTACATAATTTGAAGATACATATCGTTACCACAATTAAAAGTCATTCTCATTCAATCTTGTACCGTTTTCATAAACGTTATTTCTAGACTAGATATAACGGTATGAAATCTGATCCGATTTTGTGTCGCATTCAAGGATTAAAATGCAGTACTGAAAGTTATACTGAAAAAATCAACTATAAAATATTTTATACTAAAATCGTAATTTAATTGTGGTTCTAACTATTTCAATCCGCTAAATATCTCGTGCTAATCTCACCCTCACTCTAAAAAATACCCCCTCCCTTTTATTTTATTACTTGACTAGGAGAGAGAAAACCATGAAAGGGGGGCAAAGGAGGCATGAATAATGATTCAAGATAATTGGCCTCTCCTACTCACCGACATTTGTCATCATCATTGGACTTTCCTCTCCCTTTCTTTCTTTCTTTCTTTCTTTCTTTCTATATAATCCCCTTTTCCCCCATTGTCTCCCAAACAAATCATCCCCTTCTCTGCCTGCAAAACGCTCCCTGCCTGCAAATTCTTCTCTCAGATCCAGTTACCAGTAGCGCCACCACAACAACAACAACAAGACATGATGATGCTAGACAAGGAAGACTTGGGGCTCAGCTTAAGTTTGAGCTTCCCGCCTCATCATCCCCACCACCACCATGCTCCTCTCCACCTCAATCTCATGCCTTCTTCAGTTTCATCCTCTTCCTCCTCCGCCGCCGTAACAAATCACAAATCCTCCTCCTCCTCATGGATGAACCACGCCGCTCACATCCTCAATCCTTCCTCCGGTAATGGATCTCTCCTCTCTCTCTCTCTCTCTCTCTCTCTCTTTGTCTCTTGCTTTACTTCTTTCTGCGATTTGAGATTTCCAATAAATCAAGCTTGATTTCTAATTTTCTCTCCTCTAGATCCGCGACTTATTTGTTCGATTTTTTTTCCCTCCGATATGCAGATCTGAATTCGGACCCGACGGCGATACCGTTCCTCCGCGGGATCGATGTGAACCGGCTCCCGGCAGCCGATTGCGACGAGGAGCCCGGAGTTTCTTCTCCCAACAGTACCGTTTCGAGTATTAGCGGGAAGAGGAGCGAGAGGGATCAACCAGCTACCACCGGATCCGGCGGAGAGGATCTCGACGCCGACGAGGAAGACGGAGACACCTCCCGGAAGAAGCTCCGGTTGTCCAAAGATCAGTCCGCCGTTCTCGAAGATAGCTTCAAGGAGCACAGCACTCTCAATCCTGTAAGTACACAACTGTAAAATCCTCTCCCTTCTCTTTTGTCTGTTTGGTAGCTGAGCAAAAAAAAAATAGATTGGGATTCGCGGCGGAGGAGAGGACGTTATTTTGACTTCTAGCGACGGGGATTCATAGCTTTTGACTCTTTTCTCAGCAGCCAAACAGAATCCTCGCGAGAAAATAAAGAGAAAAGTTAGTTTGGGAGGGGTATTTTCGGTCGTACAGAAAACTTATGGAATTTTCCTTCTTTTTTCCCCCTCTTTTCCAGAAGCAAAAGACGGCACTTGCTAAGCAATTGGGCCTTCGGCCCAGACAAGTGGAGGTGTGGTTCCAGAACAGACGGGCCAGGACCAAGCTGAAGCAAACGGAGGTGGACTGCGAGTTCTTGAAGCGATGCTGCGAGAATCTAACGGAGGAGAATCGGCGGTTGCAGAAAGAGGTGCAGGAACTGCGAGCGCTGAAACTTTCCCCGCAGTTCTACATGCAGATGACCCCGCCAACCACGCTCACCATGTGCCCTTCGTGTGAGCGTGTCGCGGTCCCGCCGTCATCCACCTCATCACCACCTGTTGTGGCGGCGACGAGGGTTGGATCGTCGCCGTTGCCGATGATGGGCACCGCAGCGGCCCACCACCATCGGTCCATGGCTGCGATTAACCCATGGGCCGTTGGTGGGCCGTTCAACGTGCTTCGTCCTCGATCGTAGTAATTTACCGGGGCGTGATGAGGGTGTTTTGGTAATTTTAGATAAAAATCAGGTTTATGTGGGTTGGCTTTGTTGGGGGGAATGAGATGAGATTTGGTGGGTCTTTGCTGTTTTGTATTATTGATCTACACAAGGAAGGGTCTCATCTCTTTTTGGAAAGGTGGTTGACATAGTTTTTGTTTAATTAATTTGGTTTAGTGAGCTAATTAAATGCTAATGTTACTTGTTGAACTTTCTCTCTCTTTCTTGGGGGGGAAATGTGTAAAGGGAAAGTGAGATTTGGGAGATGGAGGAGAAGGGATAAAAAGAAAGGGTTGGATGTGGTGTAAAGTTAAAGGGGATTTTTTTCACCCAAAGGAAAGAAAAGTAGTGAAAGAGATCTGTACTTAGCAATTGAAGCTTTAGTTAAAGCAAAAGCTTATCATGGTCTTAACCTTAAAGTCGAATTTTTTTCACTGCCGTTTCTCATGTGCTTTACTTAAGCTTTCAGCCTTTGTACCATTTTTTCCCACATACACGGGGAATATTCCAAGAGCAGCCTCTTGACGAAATGAATGAGACCACTAACAGTATTATGTCTACATGACTAGATTCCAACTACTCTCATGTTGTCAAATGATTAAGTTCGAGCTTTGCTAGGTCCAAACAAAGAAATAGCCAAAGAGAAGAAAGTGCTCCAATCACTATGGTTTCTACTTTCTAGACACTCATTTCCATATAGGATGACAAAAATATCCGTAACCGTGGATATCCGCCTGAATCCGACCTTGTCGGGTAGGGTAAAACCCGAACCCGAAGGACTTTTAGCGGGTACGGGTAAAAACCGAACCCGAATATTGTGGGTAATGGGTGGGCATGGTTTTCTCGCTATCCAACCCGAACCCACCCGATATACACATGCATATGTAGCTTTTCTAGAAAAATCATTATTTTTCTCTAACATATTTTATATTTAGCATATATATATAATATATATTCATGAAATTGTGTTGTTTTAATGCACTTCCTTAATTCTAGTGAATTATTGTCGTACTTTTCGTCTTACGTAATGGGAGAATACATGTGAATATTAACATATTGATTGGAGTTATAAAGAAAAACTATTACCCATGGATAATCGTGGATACCCGAAACCCGAACGGGTATGGGCATGGTTTTGATTTTCTACCCGTTTCTTATGTGGGTATGGGTATGGGTAAAACCCGAACTACTTTGGGTAGGGTAACGGATATGCACTATCCGTCCCCGACCCGACCCACTGCCATCCCAATTCCATAGGTGAGCATCCTGTATTCATGGATTGGTGGGAGAGACAAGTTGGGGATATAAGCTTAGAGGCTTAGACTGAAGGTTGTCAAATCGATTTGTAACGTTATGTTGGTGTGACAAGCGGTATGGTCTCGCCGATGGTACAACCAGTTTATGTTAGCTCATGTCGGTTTTAGAAAAACATGTAGGAAAGTGAAAAATTGTTAACACTAAATGAATTTAGCCAATATATGTAACATATTGGACTAAAATCCAAATCCATATTCAAATAAAGTACAATATTCAAACAAAATGAAAAATCTTCATAACATCAAACATCCAAAAGTTTATACTCAATCTAACAAATAATATAAATATCTAAACTTTCATATTTGAATTTAATAAATAACATCAACATGTTAACTTCCAAATTCAAGAAACAAATCAAAAACTATTTTTTGTTAATTAAATTCACCAAAACGACGTCATTTTGTTCATAGATCGGAAACTGATCATGTCAGTCATACCGGAAGCATTATAGTCGGTTTTATAACTGACACTTGTTGAACCCGGTTGTAGTTAGTAAATACTCCGTTTAATACACATATATGTACACGTACGTACTTTATCCGTTAAAAATCTCCGTATCTGTATTATTGTAAAGACGTTTCATTTATTTCCGTTCATTTGACGGCTCCCGTACTAAACTCATATAAAACCCGTATAACACGTTTAATATCCGTATTTAATGAATTAAATTGTTAATTTTACTATTATTTATATGGTAATGACTGGTGTACGTCAGGCGTATAGTATACAGCAGGTGATCTAATCGTTAGATGTACTTAGATGACCTCCGACCGATCTCAACGGTCAATTTTTGTTTTTCATTAAATCAAACTTCGGGGTGGGGTTTAGAAAATCGGTGTCTGGGGTTTATCCATTAGAGGTTAGGGTATAATATCATACCCCAAACTCGATTTAATTCATGGTCTAGATAGAGACATCTCACTAGTAGTACCTGACATATAGTATACGCATTCTGACCCTTATTTTTATATATATTTTTTAATTTTATATATTTATGACTATTAACGTACTATTAAATCTAACATTATATTAGAGACGAAGTAAAATACCCGTACATATTTTACACGTAACTTTTCCGTACCGTATTTTGCTAACTATGTCCGACATGTCACTGCCCACTGCATGACAACCATACTGAGAACACAACATGCCAACACTCTTTAAACTTCGCCTCTTCAAAGCATGTACTACCGTTGAAATTTGAGTGATTGAATGTGTTTTGAAGTTGTTCAATTATTGAATAATCCAAATACAAGCGACACAAAATGATAAAAATACAGTTGGATACAACCTAATATTTATATAAGTCATAATAATTATGTCAAATTACTTAATGGGCCTATCTGTTGTCATTCACATTAGTGCAAATAATTCTGCTTTTGTAGCAATAAAAATAGTCTTCAATTGGAAATGAACGTACCCTATTGGCAGTTTGGCAGAGTGTGTATGTTGACTAGTGAACAGTTTCCTTAATTTGGGCAATGATTAATTGGTGCTGTTTCCTTAACAGTTGCTTATGATTTGGACTATTAATTTGGAGAATTTATGGTAGATAAATTAAATCTGAATATGTTGTGAAGCAACACTATATATTGTCTGAAACAGGCTACAGTGACAACCTATTTATCCACCATTCGTTCTTTTTATTTTTGATCTAAGGTCAAGATTAGGTCATGGGGTTAGGGAAAAAAAAAAAAAAAAAAAACTAACACACGTGATTACTAGTTATATTTATGACATTCCATGTTCACCCTCCTCTTACTCTCTCTCTCTCGTCATCCCAGTGCTCCCTCCCTCCTGTCGCAACGCCGCTCTTCTTCTTAGGGATGACAGTAAAACTCGAATTCACAGGTACCCTACCCGACCCAACCCGGTCAAAGCGGGTAAAATCCGCTTTGACGGATTGCGGGTCGGGTTCGGGTTTAAACCCACTATACTTTTTGTGGATTGGGCTGGGTTTGAGATTAGCCATATCCAACCCGTGGATGCCCGCACCCAAGTTCATACTCCCACGACCCACGAAACCCTTAACTAATTAACTATAACTTCTAAATTAATTTCTCATACTTTCAATTAATCATATTATTTGTAGATGTTTATCTTTAATATTGAACAATTAGTATAAATGATCTGTGAGTTAGTGCGTATGTAGTAGACAATAGTAGTGAAATCTACTGTAATTACATATTTGTACATGAACCCGCGGATACCCAGTGGGTTGGGTTTGGTTTGAGTTTTGCAAATCCAGTGGGTTTTAGCCCGGTTTTTTTGGTGGATAAATAAACCCATGGGTTTGGGTTTGACATAACCCACCCCAACCCGACCCATTGCCATCCCTACTTCTTCCTCATGTCGCCACCTATAGGTCACTCTTCCGCTGTTGTTGTCATCGTGTCACTCCCCCTGCTGTATCGTCAAATGGCTCGCACGATCTTGAAAGTCGATTCCCCCTAAGATCGAGAAGAATAAAACTCATTTCCGCTGCGGAACAACAAGACCTTGATGGCATAGATCTAACCAGTCACCACTGATCCCCATGCTATTGCATGAAAGCTACTAGTATCGATTCTTCCCATCAAATGTTGCTCCCCCTTAATGTGATCCTCCACAGCGACCCAAACCCACTCCACTTGAAGCAGAATGAAGAGTACACCTCATGGAAGCAAGGAAGGCCGAAGGGACGAGAATCCACATCCAGGAGCCCAAATCCACGCCTGTGGAATTGAGGTTCTCATCGTGGATTTTGAGCAGGAAAATTCCACACCCAAGACCCCAATGCCACGACCGTGGAATTGCCTCTGACGGGTTAAGCTTACATTTTCGTTTTAGGATTTTGTTTCTTTTCGGATTTTTGGTTATTTTATTTGCCGTAGACTATATAAAAGGCTTGAGACACTAGTTTTTGGCAGACTTTGATGAATATTGATATTTTTTTTTGTTTATTGAGCTTTAGTCTTGAGAATTTTCTGCTTTGTATCAATCAAAATTTCCCTTTGATTGTGGTCGAACTTCTACCTTTTATATTGTTAGCAGTGGCGGAGCCACTTGGAGAGGAGGGGGGTGCTTGCACCTCCCTTGAGTTTGGAAAAAAAAAACCCCCAGTAGGGGTATATACAAATTCGAACAAGTGAACAGAACCAGTGACCATTCAACTGCAAGAAGAATTCATTGCCATCTCAACTGAGTGAGTTTTGTTATGCAATGCACTTTCGTCTTTATTTATAGTAATAAACTGTTGTCTTTTGTTTAAACTTGCTCATTTCTTTTGTAGCTGTACAGCGGAGGAATCTCTTGTCTTTTGTTTAAACAAAGCTGAAAGTGAAGAAGTACCAATTGAAGTTCACTTGTTTGTTTCACAAAATCAATTCCAAGGTACTTCTGAGTTCTAATTTGTAATATTTGATGAATGAAAGTCTTGACTTGTATGTACTGAATTTATTTGTTTGACGTTGTAATCGATGTACGCGAAACTATTTTTATGTAATTGTATGAATTTAGAGTATTGCGTTGTTGATTTTTTGTTTCATTTAGAGTTGACTTTTCTATTATATAGGTGATTTTTTTATGATATGATAAAGACACCCACTTGGTTTCTGGCAGCGCCACACTGATCGTTAGAGCCACCTTTTATATTGTGAGAGACTTTCCCATGAGACTGCACCAACAAGACAATATACCTAACAAGTCGATCACTCAGAAATAAAAAAAAAACCTAACAAGTCGACCGCAACATCACAAGAACAAAAGCTTTCCGAGTCCAATGGGAGAGAGACTGTGCAGAGCAGAAGACCAAAAGCAACATTGGGAAACTAGCCATGCAAAGCAGAGTTTAACAGTCTGCAAGAGAGTTGCAATCTAGTTGTTGCGTCAAGAATGCATCTTTCCACCAGACAAGTGAAAGTATAACGCCAAAATTTTAGTCCTGAATAGGATAGTAACTTTTGGTATTGCGATCGAGAAATCAAATTCCTTCACATGATTGGAAGAAGTAGTAAAAACACTGGAATCCCTTAACAATTACAGCTGAGTTGCAAAATGAAAACTATGATTAAACTGCCTTAGCAGTACCCTCAGGGTTCATCATCGATCAGAGAGCGCAACTGCTTTCTGAATGTAGGGATTTTGTCTGCTTCGACCGCCATAACCAACCCCATTGACACGTAGTTCTTCAGCTGAAATAAGTATATATTCACATTGTAAGACACCTTGGAAGCTCTTCAAAGACCCCATAACTGGAAGACGAGTGCAATAAAGGAGACCGGGAAAAGTACAAGTCACAGTATCATAGGTGCTTTTGTCTTTGCCCCAGTGGACTTGAATAGGAATAAAAAGGGTGAGACTGGAAAGCCAGGCAGAGTTCCAGGACAAAGAAAGTGAACTGATTGAAGAGATGAAAAGAAAAACTTGCCTCACTTGTGGTGACATGCTGGATTTTGAGAGGGAAACTGAACGACCATGAAGACACCTGAAACGTAAACAAGGGATTTGTTGAATCAATCAATATCAAAAGTTCGAATACAAGATTGTTAAGCAAACCATGAAATTGCACATCAAAGATGTACAAACCTCGTGAAAAAGCTCATCCTCAGCCTTCACATATATTACTGGCTCTTCCTCACTATCAGCCTTTTCCCCCAGTTTACCATTTGCTTTCTTATGCTGCAAGTCACGTCCAAATTTAAGAAAAGATACAGCGACCGCTCGTAGTGGAAGCAAGATGAACTGACAAGGGGTTACCATATAAATTTTAGTAACAATCAAATAGGTCTTGAAGCGGAAGGAGTTCCGAAGCTGCTCTGTCGGCTGAAAGAAGTACAAATTTTAGTGGAGCATTGTACAACAAATTTTGTATGGTGAATCTTAGATTGCCAACTAACCTCGTCTTCCACAGCCCATGACACTTCATCAAAGAGCGCATCATAAAGAGGTGGCAAAAGCTGGGCAGGAAGATTAACCACTCGTTGTGAGACCAAGAGACCAACATCCCGAGCTTTCTTGCTGAATAGTACTCTCAACTGGTCCACAAGGTTACTTTCGTGGCAGACACTGAGAACATAATCTTCCAGTTCCTTCATACATTTATGGTCCTGACATAACGAAGAGCCTTTATAAGTACTGCAAAGAATCCCTTTTCAAATATTAGCAGGGAATTTACATCATCATCACAATTCACAGAATCTGCATTCTTGATGTAACAAACATTATGTGATAATCTTGACAGGGGTTGAAGAGTTAATCAGATGACTATGAATTTAAACTGGCATACAATTCGTCACAGTAACCACAACAGAAGAATTTCGTAATGAGGGGGAGAGCCAATTGAAGAGCTGTCTATATGTAGATATTGCTTACCTTGTATCTCCCCAAGTTTAAGGCCGTCACTACTGAGAAAAGCCCATCATCATCATCATCCTCCAGTTTAGCCACCGTCCCAACTGTCGTCTGTTCAAGTATCAAATCCACAAAACCACTCAAATTCCACTCCTTATTGTCAAGGAAAGTTTGAAGTAAAGTCTTCACTCCATGAAAGTCATCTGGTTTTGGATCAAAGAAGGCAAAATCCGCTTGCACAACCCCCTTCAAAATTGTAATAAAAATCCATCACATAACAAAATAGCAAATGGAGCAAGGAGCAAAGCAATCATAATTTCCAGCATTCCCATTTTCCTTACTTCAGAACTTTCTCCATCGGAATCGCTTTCGGTCTCATCTATGTTTCTCTTGTCGTTACACTTACACTCACCATCTGATGAACAAGAACAACAAACGCTGCAGCAGATAAGAACCATAATCACAGAAGGAGTGAAAAGTTAAACAAGGCATATACATGGGATTATGTACTTGGAGTAAGTTGACAAAATTCATGGAGTTTGTTCTCGATCATTTGACGCTTAATCATGTAAGCTGAGGCAATGTGAGCAGCTGAGCGTGCAAATGGGGAGAATGTCACTGGCCTAGCTACCAATTTCCGGCGAGGCCTCTTCGCGGTTGGTGCCATTTTTACTCAGTCCCACTGAAAATTTCAAACAAAAGCGTCGAGAATCACTACATCTGAGTGTGTATAATAACAAAGTTGGCAACTTGGAAGGAGAGAATGAACCATCGAATGTCAATCAGAAAAGCAAAATTGCAGGACATGGGTAGAACGAACTCATCAGAATGGGGCTTCAAGTATCATTATGAAGATGCTGAGGGCTTACCCAGGAGACTAATCACTTCTCAGGCCGCAGTCGCCGTCAGTCTGTCCTCCGCCTCCGTCGTTGCCCTTTCTGATCAACGGCGGAAGAGGAGAGTAAGGGTGAGAAAAAGTTCAAAAATTATTGTGGGTGAACGCTACAAAAAAAAAAAAAAGGAGCAGTTAAGCTTACCGGAAACTTTAGTTGTCTTGTCCTCCTGCTGCCGTTGCTGTCCGTTCGCCGTTATTGCGAGTCGCCACTGAGCGCCGGCGGGAACAATAGCAAGGAAAGAAGGGTTTTGCGGTAATGAGCTGTCGTTCGAAAGGAGAAGCACACCGAAAAAATTGTTGTAGAAAATGGGCCGAGCTTAATTCGAGAGAGAGTGGCTGATTTCATAAGAAAGCCCAAAGTTGACCTCAATCAATGAGTTGGCGGGCCCGTTTGGATTGTGATTTTGTGTCTCACCAAGCCAGCCAGTCACGTCACGTGAGGAAGCAAAAGACGGGCGTATGATTCATGGCCACGTGTCGGGAAGTAAAGGCGTCGATCGTGATCGGTCCAGCACCTACACGTCATTCTAGTCTTTCCCGTCCTTTCACCTTCCGTTCTTCTCCCAACGCTTCCGTCGAAACTTGCGAACCAAAAAAAGGGCGCAAAAAAGCAGAAGAGCCCAAGAACAAGAAGAAAGAAGAAGTAGAATCCCGGCAATCGGCCATTCACGCATCTCAGCAACATCCAGAAAGGAGGAAAGCACCATACCCCCGGCGTAAATTTTATCCCCTCTTCGCCGTCCCGCCGCGGGTTTGCCACTCCCCGACGATCGCTCTCTTCGGCTGCGTCGTGTTATGGTCATGGTGGTTCCTGCTGGGAATCGTAATTCAAACAGTCGTGTCAGATCTCAGATAATCTACGGAGTTTGTTCTTTCTAGTGGTCGATCGCTGTGAATAGTTTGTAAAGAGGTGGTTGTGTAACTCTGTGTAGTTGGTTTGATTGGTTTCGATTAGGGTTTTCTGTTGCTGGAATTTGAGCAGAAAGTGGTGATTTGGTTGTGTTAATATGATAATTGAGGAGGTGGAGGGAGGCGAGTTGGATGTAGTTGATAGTATTGCGGAGGAGGATCGAATTGGCGGTGGAGGAGGCTTGGTCGTTTGGGACGCGAAGCGGGTTTTGATCGGAGCGGGAGCCAGGGCTTTGTTTTATCCGACTTTGCTTTACAATGTCGTTAGGAACAAGTTTCAGGCTGACTTCCGGTGGTGGGATCGGGTGGACGAGGTATGATCTGTGCCTTGTGATTGTATCTTAGATGTCTTTGCGTTTGATCGTGTTTGTATTGATTGAAATCTAAACAATCTAGGCATTAAGTTAGTGACAATGGATTAGATTTGTAGCATTTTTTAGGTAATTTTTCGAGCAGTGTACGGGATCACTAGCTAACTATTGGAGTTTTCGTTTCATGTGGATAGTATTCTGAATGTGCACTATGATGCTTACTTTCTGCATTACCGCCATTGGCAAGATACAATAGTAGGATGCTTCTAGTTAGGGTAGATTTTAGTGCAAATTGTCGTCCTTGCATTAACTAAGACTCAGTCGATTTTTGGCTTCCGCAAAGTTTGGTGCTTACAACAATGCAGTCTTATGACAATTGTATTCCGGTTTCTGAAACATACTTCTGCAGTTTATTTTGTTAGGTGCTGTTCCATTTCCTACTGATGTTCCATGCCTCAAGGAGCTTGGTGTTCGGGGAGTCGTTACCATGAATGAGCCATATGAGACATTGGTTCCCACATCTCTATATTACGTGAGTGCTTGTCTTTATTTGTTTGGTTCTATGATCTTCTATTTGCATTTCCACCATGCTCCGATTTACTATGTTTTGAGACAGTTTTATGTCACTGGACTCTTAACAGTTGTATTACTTTGGTTCAGTGGCTATTTCATCCATATATACAGTATTAGGAAACTCAGAATCGCGTGTATTATTTGCTTATTCCTTGGACATTGTGGCAGGAACATGGCATTGACCATCTGGTACTCCCTACTAGGGACTACTGCTTTGCACCTTCCTTGAGAGACATATCCCTTGCCGTAGAGTTCATTAACGGTACATACTTCTTTTTATTATATGGTGTGTTTACTAGGTCATAAAATACTTGCAGAGAGTTGAATTTTTTTTATTTATTGAGATGAGATGCTTATGTTTCGTACTTTTCATTGTGTAGACAATGTCCTGCGAGGGGAAACAACCTATGTCCATTGTAAAGCTGGTCGAGGACGCAGCACCACCGTGGTCTTATGCTACCTTGTGAGTAATGAAATGACTGAAGTCTTTTCTTTGTTTTTTCACCGGAGCGGGGTAAAATAAACTTACAGTAAACAATAATTACTTTACCTCTTCAAGAAGTGATGTAGCAAGGTACACGTGACGAGAGAAACTGTAGAGCCTGTTTTGGCATCTCTCAGAATTTCCTTGTTGAACTCCATGCAGGTACAGCACAAGCATATGACACCTGATGCCGCCTACAAATATGTAAAGTCGATCAGACCGAGAGTGCTTCTTGCACCTGCCCAGCGGCAGGTATTCATTTTGCAATTTACTCCCCATTTTCTATTTCAGTTTTTCTTTGGATGTGCTCGATTTAGCTTTCCTGTCGACTTATTCTGCAGCTAACATAAACATATTCCTTATGTTGGCTCCATTTGATCTTGGAAACTTGCAATTGCAGGCTGTTCAAGAATTCTATCACCTTCACATAAAAACACACGTCCTCTATGGCAGTTTGAGAAATCTGATATTAAAGGCCCAAAGGCAAAGTCTGGATCTCTTCCTCTCGAAGGATCTCGTGAAATTCGACGATGGCTCGGTAGTTCTTGTTACAGAATCAGATCTCGATGGATATGACCCAAGGCTTGTCTCTAGTCCAATGAAGAGTAGTGAGATATGGGCCGACTTGAGCGTGGTTTATGGAGTACGGCTTGCCGGGCAGGCAGTACTCACAAGGATCTCCTGTCTGTGGCTCCGTTGTGGGGGGCACCACAAGTTTGTCGGCGGGAAGCAACTGAACAGGAAGAGCAGCTGCTCGATCAGCAGGGATCAATTAGGAGGTATTAGTGTCGACATTCACCTCTACTAAGGCCCTGTTCACTTCTATTTTCGTTTCCTGTTTTCTGTTTTCATGTCATAAATTTGGCAAACGAAACGAGAAAACATGTTTACTTTTCATTCTGTTTTCTATTCGTTTCCCACTCTGAAAACAGAAAGTGGCAACTTCCTGCTGTTTTCGAAAACGAAAAAATGTAGTTTTCACCTGTTTTCAACATCTGTTTTCTCAAAAACAGGAAACAGAAATGAAAGTAAACAGGACCTAAAGTACTGCTGGTGTTTGCACAAAGGGTAGTCCGATGATAAGCTTTTCTTTTTCCATCTTATGAATCCGGTTATGTTGTTTCCTGTCGTTGGTATATAAAATCGATGATGAATAACGTTTGCTTTGTACGGATACTTGGGGGTTTCACCATCAGCTGTAAATATGAGGGTCTGCATGTTGATCAAGTAAGTTCCAACCAAGTATATACGTTGATATGTTCCTCGATAATGGTTCTGTAAAACGGTTCAATGTGTTATTGAGAAATTGTATCACTGTAATAAACATGTGATAAGATCATAAGTGGAACTGGTATTTCATTGTTCGGTTTGGCATTTCTTCAAGTAGGTCGAATAAGGGCTAAATTACACGTTTAGTCACTCGAATTATATAAATCTTTTACATTTGTCACTTGAATTACTTTTCTTTCTTATTCGCCAATCGCCACTAATTTTACGAATTGTTTCACCATTAGTTACTGATTGTTACGCTCCGTTAAGTTTGTCTTACATGACAGTCAATCATAAAGTTTGACCGTTAAATAGATGACATGAAAATTATTTTTTTTTTAAATATTATTGTTCCACCTCATCATTCCACTAACTTTGTTAATGTGTTATCATATTAATTATTTAATATAAATTATAAAAATTAAATATCAGGGAGGAAAAAATTGGTCAGGCATCGAGGGATTTTCCACGGTATGGATTTGCCGGCCGCGGTGAATGAGGATCTCCCCCAAGTCCTATGGATTAAGAACCCGCCCGCCTTCGGCATCTTAGGGGAAGATCACTTCACCACCACCAAGTTCCGGTACTTGAAGGCCTTCGAACCCACTGCACAATTTCTTTGCAACCTGCACTCGCTCCGTGCAGGCGATCCTCGAACTCTTGCCGGAGGTGCGCGTCATCGCCACCACCAGCGCTGGGCTCAACCTGCTGGACCTGCCCGAGTGCCACCGCCGAGGGATCAAGATCGCCAATGCGGTGTGTTTTCCCGGCGAGAAAAACTAGATGAACAGAATTGGATTTTGCACCTTTTTTGACTTCCAAACAAACGATTTGTTGGCCTTATAAAGCCATTTAATTCCTTGTTTTTAACCGATGTGGTACAATGTTAATTTTTATGGGTAAACAAATGCCCCCCAACTACTTAGTGCATAAGAATTATGGACTAAGTAGTTTCACACCAACTATGCCATCAAACTCAAATAGTTGGCCTTACAATTTAAATGACCAAAACAATACCAATTTCTTCTCCTTTGCTGCCGTGTGGGAGGAAGGAAGGGAGTCAAACATAATTATTCCATAGTCCTTCCATCTCGACACAACCGTGCCCCCCATGCCACTGTGACCACCAACAGTTATGGTCACTCTTAAATCACACGGCGTGGTATCTTTTGAGGTTATTGGGCTGGAACAACATCATGCCCCCCTAGTTAATCCAAACTACTACTAATCATACCCCATGCCATTCATCATCACCTCCATGTCTTGTCATGGGGTATATAGTTCACACCTTACAAAATTTTAAAGTTTGGCATGGTTAGGCCACCTTAATGGCTTGACAATACAAGTAATGATTGAGGCTTACCAGTCGTGGCAAGATTCTCACATCAAAACCTACTAACTTCTTCTGAAACTTGCCACTTTGGGATTTTAAATATATATAGCCATGATTGGCTTTTCCTGTACGACCTGTGAACCAAAAAAACTTTTGCACGACTGGACTATGCTATTTGAATTGGATATTGGATACCAGGAATAGGGCTTTCTATATTAATTAATATTTTTTTTACTTTTTTTTCATTGTATATAATAAGTAGTTACAAGCATCATTGATCTCCATACCCTTTGGCAATAACCAAAGTGCCAAAGGTATACATCCACTGCCAAGTCCATGTATTAAACCAAACAAGCCAACCATACACCATATGGCCATGGTTGTTCAAAGGAGATGATTCTTCACAAGCTGACTTTGAATCACCCCCTACACCATTTTTTTCCCTTCTGACCCTTACCATCACTTTGGACTTGGGCATGCTTGCCCTGGTCAGACACTATCACTTTGGAACCTGTGGTCATAGAGTTGTCCACCTCAATACTAGCATGACCATCCTCATTTTGTTGTGTTGGTCTCACCATCTCACCAGGTACTACTGGGTATTGCCTCTTTCGTGCTTTAGCAATTAGCATTCTTACGTAGGAATCTCCTCCTTTGAGTCTTTGTCATCCCCCCAATAGCTACTGGTTGACTATGCATATCATAAGTATGCCCCCCTACTTGTGGCACATTGGGCATCTTAGAAGTACTTCTCATGGGAAGAGGGCCATGTGCCACCCATTGCCTTCTTTGCCCCCATGTCGGTTGAATGACCCCCTCTACTTGTCTTTGGTAGGATGGGTATCTCGGCCTATAGGGTGGACCAATTCTTTGTTGGACTGGTCGATTCGGTCTCACCTCATCAAGTCTAGAACTCCTTTTGCATTGGGCACATAGCTTCTCCACCTCACTTGACACCTTAGAAGCGGCCGAGTTGGCCTGCGTACCCTTCGATGACTCTCCCTGCTCGAACACCATGGTAGGGGTCCCTTGTTGCGGTGTTGTATCCAACACCAGCTTGAAACGGGGGAGCTTAATTTTTGAGAAGTCTGGGTTAACCATGTTGACACCAAGCAAGTTCGGAAAAGGGTTGGTATCCACCAACATGGCATCTTTCTTTGGCTTGGGGAGCTTGATGCGACCCTTCTTAATGGCATCCTGCAATATATTGCGAAAAACCACACATGAGTTTGTGGAGTGTATCATGTTGTTATGCCACTTACAATATGTTTTCCCTCTTAACTTCTCAGGGGGTGGGATGTTATGCCTCCCTGTCAACTTGATTTGACCATCTTTGTAGAGTTGGTCAAATATCAAGTCGGCTTTAGAGATATCGAAGGAATACCTCCGTGGCTGGATAGGGGCACGATTTGGTCTACCCCCTTGTGGTTCATTGTCCATCTTAGTCAAAGGAGCACATACATAAGGCATCCTTGGAGTTAACTCAGTCAGGTCTACCTCCACCTCATTGGTCTCTTGGCCAATATGGTTAACAGGGTAGCCGATGTTGGGGAAGTATTGCCCCCTTGAGGCACTCCTCCCATTCTCCTCTTCTTGAAGAAGCGATTCATATCTCACCGCACAAGACATGATTTGGAACAAGTCAGAGAATTCTCTATCTTGGAATTTCTTCCTTAACTCAAAACTCAAACCCCTTTGTGCTAACTTGACAAACTCTCTCTCTGTCAAGTTGACAAAACAACGATTACGAGCATTCTTGAAGTTTGTCAAGAAGTGCGCTACTGGCTCCCTGGCTCTTGGCGCATTCGTGCCAAATCAGCCATGGAAACCTCACGCTCAGATCTATAGAACTGAGCATGGAAGATTGCTCCATCTGCTGCCATGTTTGGATGGAGTTCGATGGCAAGTTGACATACCAGGCAAAAGCAGGTCCTGTCAATGAGTTTCCAAATACTCTTAACTTAATAAAATCTCCCACATCCCCACACTGGACAGTAAAACGTCCAATGTGCTCCACAGTAGACTGGTCCCCTGTCCCAGTGAATGTGGCAAACTCGGGCACCCTAAACCCCCTTGGGAATGGGTAGAGTCTATCCACCCACTCAGGGTATGGTTTTCGATAAATAGGTGGCATGGTGGGTCTCACTCCCATGCCAAATTGCCCGACAAGAAGTTGAGCCACCTGATCCCTTAGAGTGTTGGGATCATGCCCCCCTGGTTGCCCCCCTTGGTGTACGAAACCCATGGGGTCCATGCCATGCCCATTGAAATGGGGTGGCATGGGTGTTGGGTATGCTCTCGGAGGAACTTGACCCCCCCAGCTAAGCCTACTCCCCCTCCCATGTGAGCATGCACCGTATAGAGCCTTGCAACTGGTATGGGTATGTGTGGCGGTTCCACTGGAGCAGAATGTGTAACTCCCAAATTCTCACCACGTGGGGGAATTTCTCCAACTCCCACATTGGGTATCCCTTCCACTTGAGTAGTGGCAGGAATCTCGCCGCGATTCATGCGGTGAGGAGTTTTATGGTTTGTCATCGGCGGAAAGAGGTTATCTTGCCGTGGCTGACCATTTCCGCCGCCGACGGGAGATGAACTTAAATTTCCGGAATTGCTATTGGGGTTTGAATTCCCGCCATCTAATGGCAGAGCTTTAGATTGGATTATTGGTGTGGTTAAAAATCTTCTAAACTCATCAAAATCACTTTTGTTCTTATTAACCACTTCAAATAATTGACTTAGACGTCTATCAACTCTAGAATTAAGACAGTCCATTTGAGAATTTACCTGATGAGAAGCAGCTCTAGCCTCCTCCATCATGCGACGGTTCTCCACCATCATTTGGCGGTTCTCCTCTGTGGCTTGACGGTTCTCTGCCACCAGTTTGCGGTTCTCCTCCATTATTTGACGAAGGACCCCCACTGCTTCACCAATATCTCCACTAGGCGTCGCCGTTGGTAGGATCTCTGCCCCACCATTGTTTCCGGCGCGGCCACCGCCTCTGTCACTTGGCCATGTTCAATGTTGGCCACCTGCTCCTCCACAAAACCAGCCGGAGCGTCACCTTCTTGATTCCTTCGCCTCGGAGCCATCAAATCAAATACACGGGTCCCACCAGGTGTGCCAATTTGTTTTCCCGGCGAGAAAAACTAGATGAACAGAATTGGATTTTGCATCTTTTTTGACTTCCAAACAAACGATTAACAAACACGGTCCACACCTCTTTGAACAAGGTTCAAACAAGGGTGTTCGATGTTCTTGATTATCTACGAGGAAAACTAAATTACATTAACTCTACTCCTATGGAGGTTCAGTGAGAGCTCCAAAACTACAACTATGGCTATGACTACATTTGCAGAGGAAAAGGTAAAGATAAAAGGGTCAATTTTGACATTGTGTTGTCTGGTGTGATTTTGGCGAACCCTTTCTCTGTTATCTTCAGCTTCTATTTATAGCCACCAGAAGTAACTGCCTCGAGAAACTGCTCTGCTGATGTGGAGTGGCGGTTACCCTCTCAATTGCTTCGACGGTTACCCTGACGTTGGATGTGCCACCTTCTTCAGTCCTGATCCCCTCCTCTTGAGATCTCACTCCCTGCTCTTGGTATCTCCTCCATAGCTTCGCTTATCTATAGAGCAAAAAATGGCTAAGGCATGGCAGAATACCATGTGCCACATATGGGTGGGTATTTGAATCACATGAATTAAAAATGGCAAAAATACTTCACCGTTAGGAGAGTAAAGAGACCATGTGCCCACATGACCCCCTTGCCCCCCTTTGCCATATCATGGGGCGTGTGTTGTGACTCCCTCCCCATACCATTGGGGGCATCATCATTCTCCATACTTAGCCATATTTCACTCCATGATATTGTACCCCATGGGTTTCATATGGATCACTCTCACCACTCTATCAGCCTTACGGGAGGCAGCATTGGTGACCCCCTACCCCCTGATCATACCATGGGGGTGGTATGTTGGTGGTCCCCAGATCACCTCATGGGGGTGCTCCTCGCCACCCGCATCATCTTCCATACTTAACCACATTTTACCTCTTCTCGTCTCACCAGGGCTATGGGGGAGGTGGTATGGTACCCACCCCCCTCGGTACCTCTTGAGGGTGGCGACATGATGGTCACCCTCCTCGGAATGTCTTAGAGGTGGTGGCATGGTCCCCACCCCCTTACCACGTCCTGGGGGTGGATGTATGATGCCCACCCCTTGCTACGCCCTGGGGGTGGCTCCCATACTCCTTGCCTTAGTCAAACTCGGCCATCACCCTCCTCACCACGTCATGGGGGTGGCGGTATGATGCCAACCCCCCTTACCACGTACTGGGGGTGGTATGATGATGGCCACCCCCCTTGCCACGTCCTGGGGGTGGCGGTATGATGGCCACCCCCCTCGATACCTTCTGGTGTGGTATGATGCTCACCCCCTTGCCACGTCCTGGGGGTGGTGGTATGATGCCCACCCCTCTTGATACCTCCTGGGGGTGGTGGTATGATGCCTACTGATAACGATGTAATTGCATGATTTTATACCCCTATTTCTTATCCATTTGCGGAGCATGGTTGTGTGT